CATCCTCCCACACCCCCCTACACCCTCCGCCACCTCCCAGGGCCTCAGTGAAGGATGAGCAGACATAAACACAGCCCAGACCAGGATACTTACAGCTTCCTCACCAACAACATGGCCCTGGTGCCCCGGGAGGGCGGGCTCTGAGGGCTCCACTCGCAGATGACATTGCTGATGGGGCTCTTCCGGAAGCAGGAGAGCTTGGGCTCCTCGGGGGGACCTGGAAGGCCGGCACACCGGGCCGAGGTGAGCTCTCCTCCCTCCCCTTCTCGGGGAGCCCCTGGCTTAGCCATCCTCACCTCCCCACCCCAGCTCTGGCGCCGGCTGGGACCCAAACAGCCGCATACACAATAGTGGCTGGGAACTTAAAGGACCTCACAGTGGCAAAGGGAGACGCCCAGGGCTACCCTGTCTAAAGGGGAGAGAGAACAATCCCCAACACGGCGGCTTTGGGGTCACACAGGCCTGCTCTTCTGTTTCCTCCTCTAAAATTAAATGATCTAAGTAACAGCAACACTGCTTTCCCGCACAGGGTCCCGGGGACACAGGGAGCAGAGGGCCTGGCGCACGGGGCACCTGGCTCCAGCGCGTCTTTATCGAGACGAGACGTGAGGGAGCTGAGAACCTGCTGACTCTCAAACTAAAGCTGGTTGGTCTGAGAGTGTCCAACATCCTATGTCCATGTGTGCGCACACTCACACTTCCTCTCCATGTCATCTTTTCGCACTGACTCAGAGGGACGGTAATAACATGAATTTACTTTACCAAAGAGGAGACTGAGGAGCAGAGAAGTTGAGCTGCAAAGGAGGAGGCACACCCAGGCCCCCTGGCTCCCACCTCTGGCCCTAACTGCACATCAAGGCCAGCGGGACGGGGTCCCCACCAGCCAGGTGCACCCACCCAGCGGGAATTCCCGCCTGTCTCGCTGGCAGACGTCGGCGGGCCTGTCCCCAGGATCCATGGGCCAAGGAAAAAGCTGCTTCGCAGGGAGCCATCCCGTCCCCGAGAGCTCTGCGGACACAACTCACCCTCCACCAGCAGGCGCACGGTCCCAGCCGGGAGGCCGTCCCGGTAGCACGAATAGTTCCCGGAGTCGTTGAGCTGCAGGGACCTCAGGAGCAGCCTCCTCCCCCAACCAGCCCATCTGTCGTGGCTCGAGACCGTCGCCGGGTTCCCGAGCACCCAGTGAACCGTGGCATTGTCTCCCGGTTTCCCGCCGGGGCAGGTCAGGGTGACGTTGGCGCCGGGCCTGCTGGTCAGCACATCGCTCTCCACCTCTGGGGAGAGAGAGGACACGCAGTCAGTCCACGGCAAACGGAGCAACTTCATTCCTGATTTGGGGAAGCCCCGTGAGGCTTCAATACTAAACATTTCCCAAGTCCACCCCGTGGTCCGGGCCTCCGCCTGGGTGATGGCAACAGCCTCCCCGTGGCCCCAGGCCCCAGCCTTGGCCCTCGCCACCCAGCTGCCCAGGGGAGCCCTCGGAGTCTCGATCCGGCCTCCCCACTCTTTTGCTTAGAAAACCCTTGGAGGGCCTGCCACTGTTCACGGCCTAGTGTCCAAAATTAAAGGAACAAGTAAATTTTTTTTTAGTACAGATTCTATATTCGTGCTCTAAGATATAAATTAGTCCAGCCACCTTGGACTAATTTTTGTTGTTGTTGTTAATCCTCACCCGAGGATATTTTTTCCATTGATTTCTAGAGAGAGTGGAAGGGAGGGAGGGAGGGAGGGAGAGAGAAAAACATCGATGGGAAAGAGACACATCAATTTGTTGCCTCCCACAGGCTCCCCGACCAGCCCTACGGGACCACACCTGCAGCCCAAACACGTGCCCTTGACCTGGATTCAAACTCGAAACCCTTTGGTGTGTGGGCCGACACTCTATCACTGAGCCACACCAGCCAGAGCCCACCTTGGACTAATCTATTAACCCATCTCTTAAATGAGTCCAAGGAGCTGAGGGCACTGGGGCCAGGGAAGATAGCCAGTTTCACATGAAGCACACTTAGTCCTTCAAACCACGTGTCCAACCACTCATTAGCAAGCAGCAGCAATACATCTGGCCCAAGATTTTGTAGGGGCCCAGCAGCTGCCTGAGCATCCGACCTCTCACCCCCCCACCCCTGCTCTCGCGCCTGGAGGAGGAGCACCAGTCTCTCTCAGACCTGCAGAGCCTTCTCGCTTGGGAGAGAGTTTTAACTTCACACCTGGCAGACTGTCCTTCCTCCCACCCCATCCGAGGGGGCTGTCAGCAAGGAGGGCCCAAGGCTCAGTGACTCCCAGAGGTTGACAATCCCAAAGCCAGGGCTGGTCGTGCAAACCGACCATTGGCCACAGCCCAGGGACCAGGGACATGGGCATCAAAGGGACAGAGGTGGCGTCTCCTGGGGCTGGGCCCTGCCTGGTGACACAGGCTGCCTTCCAGCTGCCTTCTCCGTCACCACTGGGAGCCAGAGCCTCTGCCCCGAGGCTGCAGGAACAAGTAGCGCAATCTCTGTCCCTGAGCACCCGCTCCACGTCTGCACCCTCCAGCCTCCCCCACACAGTGTTCCCTTCTGGGGTTCGTCTCCCTTACTTTTTTTAAAATCCTCACCGGAGGACATTTTCCCCTTGGTTTTCAGACAGAGTGGAAGGGAAGTGGGAGGGGAAGAAACGTCGACATGAGAAAGAGGTATGGACAGGTTGCTTACTGCACACACACCCTGACCTGGGCCGGAGATCGAACCTGCAACCGAGGTCCATTTGATTCCTTGACTGGGAATCAAACCCGAGACCCTTAGGTCAGTGGGCTGACACTCTACCCGCTGAGCCCAACTGGCCAGGGCATCCCTCCCTGACTTTGAAAAATAGACTCACTACTCATGCCATGTATTTTTATCGTTCATTGTGTTTCTGTGATTTATTTACATGTAGCTCCAGTGTGTTTATTTTCACCGCTGTGCAATATTCCATTGTGCAGCCCTAACTGGTTTGGCTCAGTGGATAGAGCGTCAGCCTGCGGACTCAAGGGTCCCAGGTTCAATTCCGGTCAAGGGCATGTACCTTGGTTGCGGGCATATCCCCAATAGGGGGTGTGCAGGAGGCAGCTGATGGATGTTTCTCTCTCATGGATGTTTCTAACTCTCTATCCCACTCCTTTCCTCTCTGTAAAAAAAAGCAATAAAATAATATATTTTTTTTCTCCCTTCCTCTCTGTAAAAAAAAAAGCAATAAAATAATATATTTTTTAAAAAATGCCATTGTGCAGCTACAGTAGATCATCTCCCATTGAGGGAGGTTTGAGTCATATCTCAAAGAGTGCGGCTATCAACTTTCTCACATGTGGCTTTTGGTGCATTTTTCCGAGTTTCCCCGAGTAGAATCGCTGGTCCTAGTGTGTGTGTGTCACACGTGTCCTTTTCCTTCATAGCGGAATACACAGTCCAATGGATTCAAGTCCGGAAAGCGCCTGGTGGAGATACAGCTTGCCACTTTCGGTTCACATACTGATTTCCACCTGTGCCTGAAAGCGGTTACGTTTAGAAGACACACCGGCACTTCTGATCACTGTATTGGTATTTTCGCTTTTCCATTTTCCACTTGATAAAGCAGCTGTAAGGAGTAAACCCCACAGGGACATTGAGCTCATGCACGAATTACCATCTCTGCAGGAACAGAGATGGAGCCGCTCCTGTTTGCTGGCGGGTGGCCCCGCGGTGGGGTGCGTGCAACATCCCTCCACCAGCGGATGAGCAGACATCAGAACCCACAGGCAGCCGGGAGCACCAGTACAAAGCACGGGGCAGGTTGCATGAAGGTCCAAGTAGGGGCCGAGGACCACAGGCGGCTCATCCTTTCACTGGCACTTTTCACATGGCACGGTCCGGACTATACCCAGCTCCCCACCCCCAACCGTAACTACGAGGCCGTGAGCTCCTGCTTGCACTCATAGAGAGTTCAGTGGGTGCTTAATAAATGCTTGTTTCATGTAGGGCACCTACGTGGTCTCCACCTGGACAGGGCCTCCACATTAAAAACAGCTGACACATTGCCCTAGCCGGTTTGGCTCAGTGGATAGAGCGTCAGCCTGCAGACCGAAGGGTCCCGGGTTCGATTCCGGTCAAGGGCACATGCCTGGGTTGCAGGCTCGGTCCAACACGCAGGAGGCAGCCAATCAATGATTCCCTCTCATCATGGATGTTTCTATCTCTCTCTTGCTCTCCCTTCCTCTCTGAAATCAATAAAAATATATTTAAAACAAAAAAAAAAAAAACAGCTGACACAGTGGTCTAGAGGTGCCCCCTCTCTGGTGGTACAAGGGACAGGCCCTCCACGGAGACCAGACCAGCCTGCCCCAACGAGGAGACGCCGGGGAAAGCACTCCCTGTGAGTGCAGAGCCCACGGGAGCTCTTTCCTGCGCCTGCTTTGCCAGTTCCAGGAAACGTGTGTCCCTGCTCACTTCCCTTACCCAGTCCCGATGGAAGCTCTTGCCATGTTTGGTGACCCTCTGAACAATAGCAGGGGCTGTTCTGTTCCTGCGCTCGCGAACAATGGCCAAACTATTTGGGCAACTCGGAGCAATAGCAAATAAAAAGCCTATTTTTCTCTTCCACAAAAGCAGAGCTGCGGGAGAAACATAATGGCCACTTCCTCTGCCAGGGAACTTGAGTAACAGTGTTCTTTAAAACTGAGTCACTTTTTTTTTTTAATGGGCGATGATTAATTATAAACCAGCCATTGGTGAGTGTCGCCTGTCCCGGCCCTTCTTCCTAATAGATCTCTTCTAGAGCCTGAGCAGCCCCGTGCTAACTCGGCTTTTTGAAGCACTGGATACAGGATGGTCACAAAAACTCGGAGGAAAGACCACAAGGAGACAAACGTGCCAATGTCAGAGTGGGCAGCGCTGCCCCCTCCCCACCCGCCCACTCACCCCTCTGCCCCCGACCCCACCCGATCTCTGAGTCAGACCCCTGACTGCGGGTGGCCGCGTCACGTGGGACCCATGGGCGGTTTCTGGGAGGAGGAGGGAGGGGTGTTCACAGAATGCCCTCCTGGCATCTCTGCCCACCTCTCCAAAGGATGAGACCAGAAGGTTTCTTTCTTTTCATCTTTCTGTAGTTTTTGAATTTTCTATAAGTTGT